ACGCCGCTCATCCAGTACGGCTGCTCCAGCCAGCTGCAGGTGGGCGCCCCCCCCCCCCCCCCTGGGGGGACCCGTGGGGAGGCACGCTCCAGCTCACTCCGCGGAGCCCCTGCCAAGTCGACCGCCCCGTCCCTTCCTAGGCTGAAGGGTACTGCTCTCCTGGAAAAGCGATTTCCATCCCCACCCCCACTTTTCTGTCCTTTCTCGGGAACTGGAAGCCAAAACGTTGTGTAAGTCATCTGGCCTGGGAAAGAACCCACTCTTACACCCCGCCCTTCCGTTTTTCTCCCTTGCCCACCCATGTCTGGCCAAGCCCCTAGCCCCAGTGGAGCTGAGGGTTATCGCTGCCAAGGATTCGGGCCACCGCTGCTCGGTGGGCGAGTCCCCGCAGGACAGCCAGCTGCAGCTGAGACTGGCAAGGAGCGATAAGGAGACGTAATGTCTCCTTTCCCGGTCCCTCACTGACCTTCTTTCTCCCCCATATTTTTGGGGCGGGCTATTACATGAAACACCACTGCACTGGTTTCTGCTGAGTAGCCCCTCCTCGCGTCGTCCCGCACGGTTTTAGAGGTCATACAGGAAGGAATGGTTGGGTTGGCTTGAGTTGTTTCTTGTACTCAGGGTTGAAGGCAGGTTTAACGCCTGGAGAGAAAAAGTTCCAGAAGGTAGTTGTTATATTGGAAGACATTGTTTCGTAGTCATTAAGCAAATTTAAAGCTTATGTAATGATATAGAAAATGTTTATCCCACAATAATAGGGGAAGAAAAAACTTTGCATATACAGGGTGATTGTCATCTAGCGAAACTAAACACAAAAACAACAACCAGTTCATTGAGGGAAAAGACGGAAAGGAAACTATAAGACATATTAACATTGGTTATGTTTTGGTTAGTGAGGCTGAGCGATTTTTAGAAATTTAGAAAAGAAAGAAGTTATGGGAAAAAATAGAGGTTAGCTGTCCAGGCTAAAAGCTTCAGAAATCTGTGGTTCTGGCTGTATCTTCCAAGAGATAAGAAACAGACATACAGCCTACTTACTAGGTGCGTGTCTTTACATAGGCCATTTAAAAAGTTGAATTGTGGTTTTGGAAGGAGATGGTTGGGATTAGACCTGTTGCTGGTGAAATATCCCTTTGGAAGTTTCAGAACTTTAGAACTAGGTTATAAAAGCTTAAGAAATGATCCTTTAGCTCTCGGGTTGGAAAAAGCACATATCCTGACATCAGTGGCAATTTGTTGGAGAAACAGCTTTTGCAGGGATATATATTTTTAATTACATGTATCCTGGGGAAGCAGCCAAGCTGTTTTGAAGGACAAGACTGGATCCCTTTACATGTTGGAAAATAGTTACTTGTAACTCTAGACTTCGTAGACAACATCTGTAAGGAGCCAAGCAGACTGTTTATCAATGCTGGAGGAATTGAGGACAGCAACTGGACTCTCCCCTGCTGGTATTGCAGTTTCGGGGATTTAACATTTACATGTTCCTATTGTGCTTCATTATTATTCATTGAGGAAACTTGGCCAAACAAACCCCCAGTGACCAGAGACCTTAATCTGCATCCCATCCTTGAGTCTAACAGTGTCTTAACTGGACATTTTCTGTTTCAGTATGGGATTGATTTTTTTTTTAATTTTTAAAGGGATAAAGTAGAGGAAAGAGAGAATATTAACAGGATCCACATTTTTAAAAAATTTTATTTTTATGGTGATAAAGAAATGAGCATTAAAAACAAACCACAAACCACTTTGTCACCTAAATGACTAGGTCATATGATTAGTTTCTTCAGCTTTCTCAAGTATTATCTAAAAGGGGAGGGAAATTGAAAGTCCGTGTTTAAGGGTTACTTCCTTAAGCATTGTGTAAGGAGGGATTATACAATTCTTCAGACCCTCTTTATAATGTATGTATGTTCTTCTGGAAAGGGTTTCTAGAGCCAAACTAAGAAAAGTGTGTAAGTGATGACATTACGTACCTTTGTTGAGGTCAGAGTAAACAGACAGACTCCCCATAGGCTGGTTTAAAAGTAGATAATGTACATTGCCTGGAAGCATTCAAGTCAGCTTTGTGCAAGCATTTGGTCAGACTTCCAAGTCATTGTTTTCTTTGTTCATTTCATTACTTTTCCAGTTCTTCCTTTGTTCGGTTTATGTGCCAATGTGCACAGAGAAGATCAACATCCCCATTGGCCCGTGTGGCGGCATGTGTCTTTCAGTCAAGAGACGCTGTGAACCCGTCCTGAAGGAATTTGGATTTGCCTGGCCGGAGAGTCTGAACTGCAGCAAATTCCCACCGCAGAACGACCACAACCACATGTGCATGGAAGGACCAGGTGATGAAGAGGTGCCCTTACCTCACAAAACCCCCATCCAGCCTGGGGAAGAGTGTCATTCTGTGGGAACCAATTCCGATCAGTACATCTGGGTGAAAAGGAGCATGAACTGTGTTCTCAAGTGCGGCTATGATGCTGGCTTATACAGCCGTTCGGCCAAGGAATTCACTGACATCTGGATGGCCGTGTGGGCCAGCCTGTGCTTCATCTCTACCGCCTTCACAGTGCTGACCTTCCTGATCGATTCTTCTAGGTTTTCCTACCCTGAGCGCCCCATCATATTTCTCAGTATGTGCTATAATATTTATAGCATCGCTTATATTGTCAGACTGACTGTAGGCCGGGAAAGGATATCCTGTGATTTTGAAGAGGCAGCAGAACCTGTTCTCATCCAAGAAGGACTTAAGAACACAGGATGTGCAATAATTTTCTTGCTGATGTACTTTTTTGGAATGGCCAGCTCCATTTGGTGGGTTATTCTGACACTCACTTGGTTTTTGGCAGCAGGACTCAAGTGGGGTCATGAAGCCATTGAAATGCACAGCTCTTATTTCCACATTGCGGCCTGGGCCATACCTGCAGTGAAAACCATTGTCATCTTGATTATGAGACTGGTGGATGCAGATGAACTGACTGGCCTGTGCTATGTTGGGAACCAAAACCTCGATGCTCTCACCGGTTTTGTTGTGGCCCCACTCTTTACTTATTTGGTGATTGGAACTTTGTTCATTGCTGCAGGTTTGGTGGCCTTGTTCAAAATTCGGTCAAATCTTCAAAAGGATGGGACAAAGACAGACAAGTTGGAAAGGCTGATGGTCAAGATTGGGGTCTTCTCAGTACTATACACAGTTCCTGCAACCTGTGTGATTGCCTGTTATTTCTATGAAATCTCCAACTGGGCACTCTTTCGGTATTCTGCAGATGACTCCAATATGGCAGTTGAAATGTTGAAAATTTTTATGTCTTTGCTGGTGGGCATCACTTCTGGCATGTGGATTTGGTCTGCCAAAACTCTTCACACATGGCAGAAGTGTTCTAACAGACTGGTGAATTCTGGGAAGGTAAAGAGAGAGAAGAGAGGAAATGGTTGGGTGAAGCCTGGGAAGGGCAATGAGACTGTGGTGTAAGGTTTGCCAGGCTCCACGCTCTCCTCATTTGGAAAGGGGGATGCCAGCATTTCGGTGGAAGGGCTACTAAAAGTTTCATGCAGTGAATCTCAGTTTGAACACTAGCAACACTTAAGCGACCCTCATCAACCTGCCACCCCCTGCCCCCACCCCAGCATCATAAAACCAATGATTTTGCTGCAGACTTTGGAATGATCCAAAATGGAAAAGCCAGTTAGAGGCTTTCAAAGCTGTGAAAAATCAAAACGTTGATCACTTTAGCAGGTCGCAGCTTGGAGCGTGGAGGTCCTGCCTAGGTTCCAGGAAGTCCAGGGCGATGCTGTTTTCCCCTGCAGGGTGGGATTTGAGCTATGAGTTAGTAACTTGCAGGGAGAAAGATTTACTTTTTTAACCCTTTAAAGATTTAAATACTAACTGGGTTTTTCAGATAGCAAAACAATCTATAAACACTGGAAACGATGGGTTCAGAGAAGTGTTACAAGAGGTTTATAGTTGGCTGATCTAATATAAACATCTTCTGTGGTGCACTGTCTGCAGTTTAGAACTTTGTGGATTGCACTCCCAAGAGGTGGTGGTGTCAGAATCTTTCAGTGCCTTTGTCATAAAACAGAATTGTTTGAACAAACAAAAGTACTGTACTAACACACATAAGGTATCCAATGGATTTTTCTTCTGTCTCTTAAGTTTCAGCATCTCTGTTCTAGGCTGCTGCTGTTTTCTTCATTTTATATTAAAGGACTCAAAAAAGGTATTTTTATAGGAATTTTTGCACTGCAGCATGCCTAATGAGGGAAAAAGGAAGGGTGATTCACTTTTGGACAATCGCTTAATTCAGAGCAAAATGAGATTTACTAAGTTGACTTACCTTACCGACCCCAGAGACCTATTGCATTGAGCAATGGGGATTTAATATATTTTACTTGTGTGATTGCATCTATGCAGACGCCAGTCTGGAAGAGCTGAAATGTTAAGTTTCTTGGCAACTTTGCATTTACACAGATTAACTGTGTAATTTGTGTGTGTCAATTACAATTAAGAGCACATTCTTGGACCATGACATAGTATACTCAACTGACTTTAAAACTTTGGTCAACTTGCAGTCTCAGAATGATAGTGCCTTTTTTTTTTTTCTTTTTGAGCATAAGAATGTTATCAGAGTATCAGAGTTTGGTCTACTTACCACAGTGGAGACTTTTTCAATTTTGCAAAGGGAACTAAGGACAGTTAATCCAACTACTTGGTGCATAATTGTTTCCTAGTAATTGGCAAAGGCTCCTTGTAAGATTTCATTGGAGGCAGTATGGCCTGGAGTATTTATATGGTGCTTAATGAAACTCCGGAATGCCAGCCAGGAGCTTGATTGGTTAGTAGGGGATAAAGTGTAGACCATATGAAATAAACTGCAAACTCTAGCAGCACATGTCTTAATTGCCTTTTGGGGAGGTATCCAAAGCTTTTAAAATTTATGCTTTACTTTCCTCACAAGGGGGCACCCCCTAACAGCCTCTCAAAAGTTGCAATTTTTAAAAAATTGTAACTGGACTTTCTCTTTCCCTGTCTTGGGCCTTCCTCATCACAAAATCTTGGGGACAAATTGTTGACTGTATCACAGGTTGCTGTCCTTGTAACTCATACCTGTCTTTGCTTCAGCAGCTGCTTTGCAATAACTCATTTATTTACTAATTCATACCTCTTTAGGAAAATAGGAAAGTTTGGTTTTTTTTTTTTTTTAATTACACTTCTTTGTGGAGAAACATTTCCAGGGACTCAAAATTCCAAACAGACAATCAAATTCTGGAAAACAAGCATTTCTTCTTTTTTTTTTTTGCTTGAGTTTTATCCCATGGTTTAACATTTTCCTTCTTTCTTTCCTCTTTGTTTTTGTGTGGTTCTTGAGCTATCTGAGATCAAGATGCATATAAGGGCCATTGTGTGTTTTGGAAGGGAAAGTCTTGGGGCTTTTGAGACTAAAGTTCAGTGGGCACAGGTGACCCCTGCTGCTGTGTGCCCCATCTGAATACCTTGGCTCTGGGTCAGGTTCTTAGGAGCATGAGAATTGATCCCAGAAAGGACCAGTTTAACTCCATCTGAGACGACACTGCCTATGAAATGTACAATGTGAACTCCCTGTGCTACTTGCCGACAGTTCCCATAGCTGCCCAGGGCCCTGGAGCATGCACCCAGGGCAAGAGCCTGCCCTTACTCACGCTCCGCTCTGGTGTCTTGGGAGTTGTTCAGGGACTCTGTCCCAGGAAAGGGAAGGAGGACCATGTGGTACAGGACTGGCCTTGCTGTTAGAGTATAGGGGTTTGTGATGCAAATTTTTTTTGCAATGCTTCCAAGGAAGCATGTGTGACCAAGGCAGCACTTAGCAGAGGGCCACGCATGGAGTAGGGCTCAATATTTGTCAATTACTAAGTTATAACAATAAAGACTACTTGGGTAAACCCGGACACCTGAGTTCTGAGTTCTGGAGCTAGGGCCCTGACAGTATTTTTGGTTTTGACATATCTGTTTCACAAATCTCTTGCCTTCTCAGGGGAAAGTATATTTGATCAGATGAGGCCAGTGGATGCAGACTGGATTAGTAGCCTTAGCAATGCCACAGGGTTATAGGCCTTTCCTGTCACATTCCAGACAATGGAGAGTGTTTACAGTTTCAGGAAAGGAACTGTGTGACTGAAGAGTCATTTACCAGTGACTTTCAAGAGACTCCATCACCTCCTTAGTTGATATTGTTTTCTTAAAAAAATCAAGTATCAGCACATTTATTGGGTACCAACTGTGTGTAAAGCCCTGTGTTAGCCATTTTCTGGTATGTCGTGGGAGATAATCTCTGTTCTTCTAACTGACTTAGGGTAGGGATGCACCCAGGTCTATTGAACTTTGCTGCTGGTTTTGTCAAGGAGCAGGAGCCTTTGGACTCCCTTTCTGTTTCACTATCTCCATCTCATAAACCTCTTCTTGGGTCACTTTACCTTTAACACACCCCTCGGCCCTTCCCAGGATTCCTTCCAAATCAGTTATAGGGGTTTTGTCAGAAAGCATTGACTGCTCTATGACAATCTCCATAGAAATGCCCTAAACAGACTGTGAGAATAGGCAATTAGGACCTGAGCTCCCATTTCTCTGGGGTTTGGGTGTTCCATGTCATGTGTGTAGGCACATTTGTGGAAAGCATCTTGCTAGGAAAAAGGCTAGGATTGTTTTTCTTTGAAATACAGAGTAAGTGGGTATGATTGTAGCTTGCTACAAAAAACCCTTGTCTTCCAGAGATTTTGTTAAACAGGTCCCAGTGGCACCTCTGTTTAAACTCCTCTCTGGAGGACTCTCTTCTCCTTCTTCAGAAAGGTCATACCTCAGGGTAGAGGAACATGGGATAGGGTAAAGCTGGCCAGAACCAACTGATTGAGCTGCTTCGTGAATTCATATCCCTTTTCCTTTGTGGAGACCCATTTCCTGAACTCTGAGACTGTTTCTGAGCTGGCAGCTTACTCAGGCCTGAGGCCGGGGAAGGGGTGACACTTTTTGTTTCTGAGATGCCCTCTGACTTTCCTTTCTCGGGTCACTCCCTCACCTACACTCCCCAAACTTAGCGTAGGGAGATGTGTGTGTTTGGGTTTTGAACTGGGATTTTGTCCAGCACCTTCAACTATGAGTTCTCTGGCTTTTCTCAGTCTCTCAGTCACTGAACCAACCTTGGACCTGAGGACACAAAGATGAGCTCAACAGCCTCATCTTCAGAGGAACCAACAAGCTAAAGGGATTTCACCAGGATGGTGCAGTCTGTGACTTCTGATGAGGTGGCCACAGAGCACAGACTTTGGAAGGACCCTCTTAAAATCAGTCTATATTCTGTATTTTGTTCTGTGATGGAGGGCACTGGAGAGAGTTGCTCTTCTAGCCAGTCATGTCGAGTTACCGGACTCTGACAATTCCTTTTGTTCCTTTATTGTATTTGAGTTCAGAGTCCCCATTTGGGTTTTGTATTATGTCTGGCAAAGGACCTGGGTTATCATTTTTCCTCCAGGGTCAGGTCATGGATCTTGGAAACGTCTCAGAAACCATTTTGCTCCTTCCAAGGATCAGTTACTGGAGCCTTAAGTGATGGATTTTGTTTCACTGTAGCCTGGATAGAGCTTTCTGTTGCTGCCTCTTTCCATGCACATGTGTGATGATGGCACACTGACCGTACCAGGAGGGAAGTGAACCACAGGTCCCCCTGACATGCCTCTTTCCCTTGGTAAGTCCAGTTGCCCAGACAGTAGCCTGTTTCTGTTTCTAATACCTTATTTCCTATCTTCTTAGCATATTCACAGTATTCACCCAGGTAATTTGTAGAGGGCCTGTTTGGGGTCCTGTATGAGCCATCCCCTCAAATTTTGCGTACCTCCTCCTTCTCCTATAATATTCAATATATGACCACTGTCGTCTCAGAAGGCTTCTGAAGAGAGGGGCAAGAGCAACTCTGCCCCATGAAGGTTGGGTCCATCTTCTCTCCCAGGTTGTAAAAGTTTTCAGATTATATTAGTAGGCTTGGGCCCTGACATGGCTCTGGGCTTCAGGAGGAGTAAGCTGCTTTCTAGGTCTCTCCCAGTGGGGCATGAAGGTGGTTCTGAATTTTTTCTACCTCACAGGGATGTTGTGAGGCTTTAAAAGGTCAAAGGATGAAGGCCCTTGAGCTATTTGTAAGAAAAGTGTGGTCCGCAAAAAGATAAAATGTGACTCACTCTGCTCTGTGCAGCAGTCAAGCTAGTTGTTCTGTGGCCTTCTCTTGGCTCCTCATGCCACCCCACAGCTTCAGGAACCTTGAGGCCAGCCTGAGGGACTTAAAAATGTTCAACATAGAGGTACCAGGCAAACTCCTGCTACACGTGCCCTGAATGATTCGCTGAACTTCAAAGGAAATGGACCCTGCTTTTAAGGATGTACAAAAGTATGTCTGTACTGTAAATTTCTAATTTATCACTGTACAAAAAGAACTTTGCTATTTAATTTTTGTATTAAAGGAAAATAAAGTTTTGTTTGTTAACTCGTGTGTGATCTGGCATATTTCTGGAAGTGTATGATAGTCCCTGAGAAGCATATGCACTCAGCAGTGAGAAATAGAGGATTGTTACAGGCCCTCTTTTTCTTCTTTGCTGGTGCTATTTTTCCTTGTGGGATTTATCCTGGGTCAACAAACCCCCCCAGTTCAAGGTCAGAATTTATCACTACTATGGTCATCAGTAACACTCAAGTGGGTCATGTGATGCTTTGGACATAACTAGTTAAGCTGTTACCCCAATGACACCTCTTTTTTGGCATCTCCACTATGTGTGGCCATCTTTGCCTTCTAAGTCTCATTGTCTTAATCTGGTGGCCTGGGAAAGCTTTCCTATCATTCTTGGAGTTTCAGGCCTCCTAGAAAGGGGAAAGAAAGAAGACTTTTTTTTTAATTTCGGATTTTCATATTTTTTATTTTTTTCTCTGGCTACACAATGGTTCTGTTTTGTATAATGGAATAGGAATATGTCACATTAGTCAGTCAGGAAAGTGGCTTCTTTAGCTAATTTTATAAGTTGTGTGGTCTGTGTCCCCATATCCAGAAAAGTCATCAGATAAAGCAAATTCAAAGCCATTATCAGGACATCGTCATGGGAGCCAATAATATGGACCACACAGACAGAGGAAAGGAGAGCCTCGGCCATTGGCGATGTCTGCCAATGTCCAGATGAGAACGTCAGGCCTCTTGGTTTGCTTTTAAATGGCTTGCTGCCCTTCTGCTCCACATGAATACTACCCTGTTTCTGTGTGAGTAAAAAGCCCATTGAACAAGGACTTGCAACGCCACTCTCCTTATCTGCAGATTGCTATTGTACTTTTATCCCAAACGCTAAGTGAAGGGAGGCATGAAATTTTCATTCTCTTCCCTGTGAGACAGACTGAGTTTCTCATTCCATTACCTACTCATTAAGTAGTTACAAAGTCGAGGAAAAGTCAACACAATCTGGAATGAATTCATAATAATCCCTTGCACTTGTAGAAATACTTTCTGAATAGAAAACTCTTTCATTTGCATGGTTTCATTTTATTCTCATGGCATTTCTAAAGTGAGTAGGATAAACATGGCACTTTCTTTGGAGCAGAGAAGCCAAGAAATAGGGAGGTAGTAGGTTGGACAGCCACGTCTTAGCTCAGGATTTTTGTTGTTTTTAAATTTTTTTTATATACAGCGTTTTGTTTTATATTACTGTGGATTGCCTTGTGTTCTCCAAAGATATGTTGAAGTCTTAGCCTCAGATATTTGTGAATGTGACTTTATTAGGAGATAGGGTCTTTGCAGATGCAATCAAGTTAAAAGGTGCTCATAACTCACTAGATTAGGGTACGCCCTAATCCAATAACTGATATCCTTATAAGAAGAGGGAGATTTGGACACAGACCAGAGAGGGGAACACTATGTGAAGACAGGGACAGAGATTGGAGGTGTGCAACTACAGGCCAAGCAAGAAACACCAAGGATTGCTGGCAACCACCCACAGCTAGGAGAGAGGCATGGACTTCTTCCTCAGAGCCTCCAGAAGGAACACACCTTGATTTCAGATTTCTAGCCTCCAGAACTCTGTGAGAGTAAGTTTCTGTTTTCTTAAGCTACCCAGTTTGTGATGAGTTGTTATGGCTGTCGTAGGAAATTAATACATGCTCTTTCTCTCTGATTTCTTTATTGCAACGAGTTCCCTGAGAGTGGGTAGATGCTTTGGCAGGCACCTCTTTCAATAATAAGACCTGGTCATGAGCTGCTGTTTTTTTGGTTTTTTTTTTAAAGGTTATGTAGAATAATCACTACAGTAAATTTCTGTATCTGTAAACTGGACATCTCTGTAGTAAACCCCATGATTCTTGACTCTCAACTGGTTTGAACTGGTCTTGGCTGATCTCTTGCCCACCTACCAATGGCAACTCTGTGTGCAGGGCCAGGACCCCAACTGGAATGTGGCCCAGGGGTTTTTTAGTATTTCTGTCCTGAGAACTGATTTTTTCTCGTTCCCATTTTAGCTTTCACATGCAATCATAATTTTAAAGTTGAGCTGACTCTTGACTAAAGAGGTCAGCCATGGCCTCCTGCTTTCAGAGGTTCTGAGTACAGAAATAACCCATGCTAGGACAAGGGCTGTGTCCTCGCCTCAGTTTTCCTTCATGATGCAAGCTGACATGGTAGGACTGGGAGGAATCTTGCTCAGTGTTTTGAAAATGTGTTAGATCTGCAAAAGTTTAGGCCAAAACACTTTCAAAATAAACCTTGGCCTCACCTGAAATTCCTAGAGTCACCCTGTTTTTTCCTTCAGTTTATTTCAACCTTAGGCTAAGAGAGCCCATGGATTCATTTGCCCGCTTGACAAAGGATTTCAACTTCTCAAATTCCCAGGGAGAGAGAATAGAACATAAAATGTATTACATTTCCTATCAGTTGCCTGA